CGCGGAGCGCACCATGATTGGTCAAAACAGACCCAGTACGCCCTCACCGGCCTCCTTCACGGTAGGACTGCGCACGTCTGCTTCCTCACAAGGTGATGCGCCGAGGCGTACGAAGCGTAAGGATAGCTTATAGGTATCACCAGAGTATCACACAACGCACGATTTCTGCTTTAGGGGATTGGCGATAAAAGAAAAGCCTTTCTTTTCGCATGTACCGACAGCATATTCATTGAACCACATATTTGGACAGGAATCAAACGTCACAACTAACGAACAACTATTTGTTTATAATATATGTCAGTTCTATCTTAGTATCCATCCGTCTACTATGAAGATAGTATCATCCAACTTGTTTTTCAACTGTTCTAACGACAGGATCCTATTAGACTAAATGGATATTTTAATTTGTCATGGGTACATGCAAAATAAATATTTTTTACATAACTATCACTCGCTTACTACAGAAGTATGGTGTTGTATGATACCCAACTGATACTTATAAACTTTCCTTACAGCGCGAACATCCGTGACGGAGAATGCGCTGCCTGCATGTGTATAGTAGCGGGCGTGTAAGCGACCCTGGCGTCACGGGCCCCTAGCAGGCGTCACCTACGATCAACAGACTGTCATAGACGAATATAAACCGGCGGCAGGAAATTTGCGATAGCCTATTGGTTGAACGTGAAAACTCATGAAATGCAGTTTCGACATTTAAAAACTCGGATTTATATCGGTCTGGCGTCGCCTGAAGGTTGGGTTTCGACCAGATATTACCTTTGTGAGGTTTGAAAGCAGACTAACGGGCATAATGCGCTAGGCGAATGCGCAAAAAGTAGTTTGCACGCGCGTTTACCGCCCCCTGCCCCTCTCCCAGCCCCAATCCAGCCTAATTGAATAGCGTTCATTTGGACCAACAAGGGCACGGGGGTACACTCTTGGGAATGGAATTTTACCCTGAACGCGCCTGTAGAACGATGCATATGAAGCAGTTGAAGTTAGATGTCAATGATGGCAGACTTCCGTGTTACCACAGTCAAGGTAAGGAGAACAATTTAGGTGCAAGTCCAGATCGACGAAGGCCAGAGAATTTTCAAACATTACTTTCCCACTAGGAGTGAAAACAACCTCAACTGAATTCCTTGTATCCTCTAAAAAGGGGGTATTGCACCATTTCAAACTCGGGTAGAACCTACAGTGGCCTACATTCAAGAATACGGGACAACCTTAGTAGCTGTTTCCACAACATGTGTGGCCGTATCTTTGTCGGAGCGTGATAAAAAAGCAGAGGTTGGGAAAAGATACCTGCTCAAAGGGTTCCAGCTGCATCGTGACATCGTCAATGCGCCTCCTTAATTCGCGTTCCCTCTCAGCGTACACATCGTCCGCATTCAGCGCGCAATTCAATTGGCCGATAAGCGTGCGGATGTGATTAATCTCTGACGAACTGACGTGCTTGGGGAGGTCTAGAATAGAAAGAACGTGGTAACTGGAACTTGAGCAAATTGAACCGGATTTCTTTAGAGAACCAGGCGAAAGGTCGAGAGAGAAAAACAGGATGACTTAAAATGTATGCCATTCAAGAACAGACCCAACAAAAGAAATACAACTAATGCACATGCCCAGCTCTTTCAATTCAAACAAGCAACAATCTCGACTGTAAGCGCAGTGGAGTGTAGGTGCCGAGCAGCACCATCTACGCTAGCAGACAATTTGTTTCGATTTACGAGTTTCCGCTCAGTTAACGAGCTGTCAGTACGTGTTTGTGCCTGTGTCCGCCGTTGAGTCTTGCTCCCAGGGCGTGGGTGCTCGGTCGCCTGCAGCCATTTTATGGAGTGATGCAGTTTGATTGATTAAATTTCGTGAAACGAGCGTCTCACATGACAAGCTCAATGTCGGAACGGATTAAACTCATTAAGCAAGGTTCCACTGTACACCAAATCGAGAAATGCACCGAGAGATTAGCGGAGGACATACAAATAAACACAATAAACAGGGCCCTGTTTGAGCACCTCAATAAAAAAGTAACAACCAGTTCTCGGAAATTCAGAATTCTCGAGGCAGGGTTTGCCGGTCGACAAAGAGATGCAGTCTCTAATTTGGCCAACTCTGAAAGCTACCCAAGGCACTGCGGAAAAGAGTCTGATTACGTGAGCCGTTAAATGTTATGCAACAGCTCATGAGGCTTTTACAGTTCAGTTTTAGATGGCCTTGTACGAGGGCGGTGTTTTGTAAAATGCTCACCGCAGTTATGGTATTGTGGCGCTAACCGATCACGTTAACACGGGCCCAAACCCTAAGCCTTAACATACTCCTGACCATAACTCCAACTCTGAACGCAACCCCAACCTTGAGCCTAACTCTAAGCATAACCTTCACCGTAATCCTAAACCGGCATGTGACGCAAAGCCACAAGCGTTGTGGGTGGGTCTTTGTCCCCAGGTCCCGTGTTTAGGCGGCCATACAAGTCATTCCTACCAAGCCCCGATTTCTCATCCCTCCGTTCAGAGCTGCTGACTGACGTGCTAACTTTATGCAACAACAAAAACAATAACTCGAAGAACACATTAGCGTAGCGCGTGGAAACAGGGTTTAACTGTGTGCAAGTGGGAGGATAGCGCGGAGGGGAGGAGGGAATAACGTCAGAAATGTGGGGCAGAGGGGTAGTGAGGGGCACGCACATGGTTCCGGGGGGGGAGGGTGGTGGTTGTCAGAAGCTTAGACACCAACCAAGGTACATTGCTGGGTTAACGCTGGCTTATCAGGAGCACTGGACTCTAGCTAATTAGATCATCCACCATTTCTCGCCTCGTCTTCTCTACAGAAATCAGTAACGACAAAAATTATCGCAAGGGTGCATCGATTTTTACACCTTTTATGCCTGCTGCTTCATCTGCCCTTCGTCCTCCTTAAGGAGGTGTGCTAGCGTCTTTGACAAATTATGCACTTTGAATTGCCATTGTTCTCCTTCTTGTGGTAAGAAATGCACTTGTATCCGCACCGGTTTTATACTCTGCCAACCAGGACAAACCATATTCAATCAGCGCAGTGACCACATAAATAAACTTACACAATTGAAGGTAGACTCTATACAGTAGTGTGTAGCTATAATAAACTGAAAAGTACCTGAGCATATGGTTAAAATGGTCAGCCATTTAGCTGGCAGGCACTGAAATTGTTAGTAGATCATGCCCTCCATGATTCCGCAGCCCAGGCAAATACTCAGCGTAGAATATGGGAGCGGGAGGTCACTGTTCTTATTTATAGTCTACGAGCCTGAGAAGCATTATTTGAGCA